AATCAGTTCTGGCAATAAAAAAGAGGGAATCGTTTACTCGCTTATTGTTAACGATAAAGAAATCACAAATTGAATTCACAAAAGTTTTATGTAAAATATTGATTTTCTTTATTTTAAATACAAAATTGTCTAAAATTAGAATTTTATCGTTTTCTCAAAATAATGTAATTTTTTATACAAATCATTAATTGTTAAATGTTTTAATGACTAGAAATTTAGCCAAAAGTGTTGTCAATTTACTCACGACGTGATCACAAACACAATTAAATGCCTATTTTTCAAGTTTTGCCGCATTATATTGTTTAAAGAATGATTTGCCGAATTCATAAGAGCTGATCATTATAGCACAGGCCGGCGCCACTTTGATCACACGGGGGACTATTCCCGAAAATAGACCCCGAAATCCATTTTGTCGGTAAATCCTTCGCAAAATATCTCTCGTTTTACTAGCATTTGATGTGTTATTTTGAGCAATGATTTGCATTTCTCCCAATTCTATCTGTCGATGAGTTTTGACGACATCGAAGGGTAGCGTCAGGACAGCGGCCACTGTTCCCGCTGTGGCGCCGCTCACGAAACTGAACGCAAATGAGGGCTCCTTTTGGTTAAATTGTTTTTTCATGAACTCATAGTTAGCCCAATATATACAGGAAAAGGGAACGTCTCTGAGAATAGTGGCACTCAATCCTCTCCACAACGAGAAGAATCCTTGAGATTCTAATAGACTTTTGACGGCTCGACCCAACTCTAGATAACTGAGTCGTTTGGACTGCATTTTAGTCCTAATCATCTCCAGAGGGCTGATAGTAGTGGCGGCGAAAACTCGGGCCAAACCACCGGACACGACCGGCACCCACAGCGGCTGCTCTACTAATTTTAACCTATGGTTTATGTGTTCTCTTAACTGATCATAAACTGTAAAATATATAACAGTCGCCGGAATTGCCATAACTCTACACACAATTCAATCAATCAATTAAAAGTCAATTCAAATCGTGTGAATGCATACAAAGTGGGCGGAAGTCCACTCCAAAGGGCTGACAGGCCTTCGTTTCGCGTGATTTTCACGAACGCGTCCTTCAAATAGCAAAACAATTGAGTTGTCATCAAATCAACGGACAATCAATGCATACAAACCACAGTTCCGTTGAAGTGTCGGCTCCTCTCAAACACCTGTGTCTGAAATACGGGCGCCGATTGAGAGGCTGTGGAGAAGGCGTTGGATGTGTTGGAAGTGATGTTAGTGTTGACACCATTGGCGGGACAATAGCAGAGGTGTTCCATCAGTCCATTGCAATACAAATAGCATTTGTTTTTCATAAACTCTTTTTGTTGCGATTGGAGTCTAATCTTCACCACATCTAAAGGGGTCACTAAATTGTGGACACAATCTGTCAGACATGTTAACCAATCCAATCAATACATACCGAAGATGGATGTGATGAGCGCTCCCGTACACGAAGACATCATCTGCTGGACGGGTGTTATCGACGTATTCTTCGGGCCAACACTTCCCGGCATCTCTAATGACATGTGACGAGAGTTCATGGTTTGGACACTTGTGGACACTTCAGTTCATCATAAGCTCATCCACTGTTGGTCTTCAGTGAAGCGCAAACTTGTTATTAATTTAGTAAACAATTAATCAATTGATTCAATCATTTCAACCATTTGTATACACTTTTCTAACATTGCATCAGATGTTCGCCAAATAATGTAGCGCTCAATAGTTCCCTAAATGTTTCCCAAAGTTCCCGTTCATCGCTATTGAAATGCATTGCAATATATTATAACAGTTTGGAAAATACCCTCCAAATTACGGAATTAAAACTACTGAACGCTCAGCAAATTTAATCACATGTTTATATCGTATTTTATCAATTGATTTGTTTGTTGTTTACCACAAAAAGCACATAAATATAGGGCCAATTAAATTGCGCACACCGCAGCACCATGGCACATTATTGCTATGATATGGTGGTGCAGTTTTGTTTGATAACACATTACATTTTATCGCTAATCAAAACTCGTTATAAATAGTTAAAAAACAGTTTGCATTTATTTGGCGGACGTATTGTCTGAACGGCAATGAATGCATGACTTTCTGCTTTGTCACTGAATGGTCACTGAATTTGCTATACATTTGAAGTTTGAGTTTCAAAACAATTGCTTTTAATTCAATTCAATATAAAGTGATTTCCAGTGAATAGAGAGAGAGAGGAATGGCTTCCGAGAGATACAGCTTTTCGTTGACTACTTTCAGGTATTTATTAAAGAAATGATTAGTAAATTGTTTATGAAATGTAATTAATGTCAAAACCAATGGTTGACTCAATCATGTCTGCAGTCCGTCGGGAAAGTTAGTGCAAATCGAGTACGCGTTGGCAGCGGTGGCCGCCGGCGCCCCCGCCGTCGGCATCAAAGGTTTGCCCACTCTTTCGGCCACTCATTGAACCGTTTGAATGATTGTTTTGTTTGTGTCCACTAAAGCATCCAATGGTGTGGTTTTGGCCACAGAGAAGAAACACAAGTCCATCATCTATGAGGAGCACAGTATCTATAAAGTGGAGGCCATTACCAAACATATAGGTCTGGTCTACAGCGGAATGGGTCCCGACTATCGGCTTCTGGTTCGCAGAGCCCGCAAAATAGCTCAACAATACTACTTGACGTACTCCGAGCCCATCCCTACCACTCAATTGGTTCAACGCGTCGCCCATATTATGCAAGAGTACACCCAATCGGGAGGCGTCCGACCATTTGGTGTCTCTCTATTGATCGCCGGTTGGGATAATGACAGACCCTATCTCTTCCAATGCGATCCATCCGTAAGTTTCAAAAAGTAATTATTATTTGAATATTGATGTGATTTTGTTGTGACAAAAGGGCGCTTACTTTGCGTGGAAGGCGACAGCGATGGGCAAGAATCACATCAATGGCAAGTCATTCCTCGAGAAACGGTTTGTTTCAATCAATTATGTGAACGACAATTGATTAAACATTTGATATTTTGTGCACAAAAACAGGTATAGCGAAGAGTTAGAGCTCGAAGACGCCATTCAGACGGCTATCTTAACTTTAAAGGAGGGCTTTGAGGGACAGATGACTCCCGACAACATCGAGATCGGCATTTGTGACGCTCAGGGCTTCAGAAGGCTTTCGCCCGCAGAAGTGAAGGACTATTTGGCGACAATCGCTTGATTTGAATGTCATTTTCCTTATTTTTATTAATTCTCTTTTTATAATAAATTATAAGATTTTGTGTCAATTCAATGAAAACATTAAAATTGAGTTATTGTTAACAAACATCTCCAAAAATTAGTGTACATTTTATGAATTAAATATAAAGTAATATTAGTTATGGGATATCTAATGGTCAATTACCAGCAATATTAGTATAGAGGGAACTTTAATTAAGTTTATATTAATCTATGAATTGGATAATCATAGGCATTGTAAGTTATTTCTGAATATGGTAATTTTAATATTAATTGTTTCAGTGCTTACATTGAGTGCAATGAAAGTGTAATTCATTTAACAGGTATGGATTGATATACGGATACAATGTGTGTATTGTTATATTATGAATGCTCTACGAATTGAGTACAACAAAGTTTTATGACATAATTTACTAAATCTATTGGTCTTTCATTAAAATAATGTGTAAAATGTGTTTCAAACTCAACAATGAAGTGAAGGCAAGAGTGGCGCCGAAGCGAGCGATTGGTTGATGGGATGTAAGGGCACAACCAATGGGACGAGTGTTGGCTCACAAACACAAACACAACGTTAAGGCAATACTGGAGACCATTATCTCTGTATCACTGGATCCGTTCACTTACCTCTTGAGACAGGAGTGAAGACATAGCACTTCCCACACACTCATCACTACTGAAGACACATTTGGAGGTAAGTCTTCGTACGGCTAACGACTATTTGCTTCACTCTCTGCAGGAATTGACAGTCATTTTGAATGCAAACAATGGTTTTTGATTGATATGACGGGTAAACCATGTGATGAATCATCTGATGATGACATTAATTATGGGATCAAATGCCAGTGTTTTGCCACACATTGCCTCTAATACTGTCTAAAAACAGTGTCTTTAAGACATTGATTGCATTAAATGACGAGAAATGAAAGCATTGATTGAATGAATGAAATTGAATACCATTTGACAGGAATTTGTGTCCAATTGATGGCAACAATAGATTTGGTTAAACAAGCGCTCAAATCGACGACAAAGATGTCACTGAATGATAGGTTCCAACTCTTGAGACAACAGAATGTGTCCAACAAACCGATGGCAAACACTAACACTAATAGACAGGCATTAAGACAGGGCTCGCAGCGGAACCGCAGACTCGCTCTTCAGATGGCGAGCAGACCATCGGTTTTGGCGGCCCTTCGGCTCAATAACAACCAGAGGACACAAAACAGACAAAACATTCAAAACAATCGGCAAAACATTAAACAAAGACTTGGAGTCAAACGTTTCAACAATCAGTCGATTAATAATCAATTGAATCGAAATCAGTTCCCAAACAATCG